CGCCTCGGCCTCCCAAAGCGCGGGATTACAGGCTGGGCCACCGAGACCGACCGAAAAAGGATCCTGATAGGTGTATTGCATCAAGCGGGTAGTGCTTTGAAGGTGACTGAAGTTTAAACATGTAAGAATAAGGACTCAATTTTTTCATAAGTAAATTCCAGGTTTGGGGGTCGTCCGTCGTCTAACAGAAAGCAACTTCCCCCTCTTATTTTCCCAGTAGGAATCTCCAATAGAGAACTTAATCAGTCGGCCTTCTCTGTGTAGAATGTGCAGCTGAGTGAATTTCTCCTTCCCTTACTAGGTGGAGATCAGAACGAGCGTGCCTCCCGGCTGCCGCTGGTCGGCGGAGAGAAGTGCGGGGAGCCAGGCAGACGATGGCCTGGGTTGGTCTCAGAACGTGCTCCCCGCCTCGTGGAGATCGCTGTCAGAGGAAGTGAAGCAGCACGTGGGCACAGGCCAGGTTGGGAACAAATGCTATGTCCTGGAGTACAAGAACTGGAGAGGACAAGCTATTCGAGAGAAAAGATGTATGGTAGCGGGGCTCGGTGGCTCAGCCTGTAATCCCGTGCCTTTGGGAGGCTGAGGTGAGTGGATTGCCTGAGCCGGCGGGTTTGAGACCTGGGCAGCAAGACCTCATCTCTACAATAAATCAAAAAAAAATTAGCCGGGCGTGGTAGCGTGCGCCTGTAGTTCCGGCTACCTGGAAGGCTGAGGCCAAAGGATTCCCAGAGCCCAGCAGGTCGAGGCGCAGTGGCGGGGAGCGGCCACTGCACTCCAGTCTGGGCGACAGAGTGAGACTCCAGCTCAAAAAAAAAAAAGATTTATAGCAGTGGCAAATAAAAGAGAAGTAGCCTCCAAAGTAGGGGATGTTCCAACAGAATGGGAAGCTTGGATTAGGAAAACAAGAAAGACTTCACCTACTATGGAGGAAATACTGAAGAATGAAAAATATAGAGAAGACAAAAATAAAAAGCAAAAATTTTTATGAAAGCCAAAAACTCCCTAGTGAAGAGACCAAGGAGGAAATCTTGCCTCCACCAGTTCAGACTCAAATTAAAGGGCATGCCTCTGCTCGGTGCTTTGGAAAGGAAGAACCCTCAGTGGCTCCCAGCAGCACTGGTAAAACCTTTCAGCCAGGATCCTGGGTGCCCCAAAATGCCAAGCACCACAATCAATGAATGCATTATGGTCCAATAATTTCATTTACTTGAATGTGACTATTTTAACAAATAAAAGTAAAAAGTTAAAAAAAAATCACAACTTGGAGACCTTTTCTTTTTGTGGTTTTGTTTTGTTTTGTTTTTTGTTTGTTTTTTTGAGTCGGACTCTCACTCTGTCACCCACACTGGAGTGCAGTGGCCGCTCCCGGCCACCGCAGCCTCGACCCACTGGGCTCCGGCGATCCTTCCGCCTCAGCCTTCCAAGTAGCTGGAACTACAGGGGCGCACGCTACCACGCCCGGCTAATTTTTTTTATTTATTGTAGAGATGAGGTCTCGCCAGGTTGCCAGCGGTTTTTTTTATTTTTTGAGTTGGCATCTCACTCCGTCGCCCAGACTGGAGTGCAGTGGCCGGCCCGGCCACTGCAGCCTTGACCTGCTGGGCTCCGGCAATCCTTCCACCTCAGCCTTCCAGTAGCTGGAACTGCAGGCGTGCACTACCACGCCCTGCTAATTGTTGGATTTATTGTAGAGATGAGGTCTCACCAAGTTGCCCAGGCAGGTCTCGAACCCATGGGCTCAGGCAATCCACTCGCCTCAGCCTCCCAAAGCACGGGATTACAGGCTGAGCCACCGAGCCCACCTGGGAGATATTTTCTATACCAGCGATATGTATGCAATCTTGTACATATGTAGCAGGTAACCAGTTTATTAAGATAAATCTACTGCATGTTAAGTTTGCCTACAACTTATCTTCGGGGAATTTATTCAACAGATAAACTTGCTCATGTGCATAACTGCACATGCATTAGGAAGCACAACTTAATGGGTAAGAGACTGCTGAGGATGGAATTCTGGTGCTCATACTTTTTAGCTATAATCTTGGATAAGTCAACCCATCTGTGCCTTAGTTCCATCACCTGTAGTGGAAATAACACCAACCTCAGAGGACGGTTACATGGATTCAGAGTTTACTTTTGCATTGTATTTAGAAGAGTTCCTGGCATAGTGATGTATGTATTACTTTCTTTTCATTCTTGCATCAGTTTGTAATATAAAAAGCTGGAAACAACCTAAATGTCCATCAACAGGAGACTGATTATATCAATCATGGCATCCTCAGTAATGAAATTCCATACAAACATTAAGAAGATTAGGGAACCAAAGAAATACAGATGACAATATGCACATGAAAAGATGCTCAACATCGTTAGTCATTAGAGAAATGTAAATCAAAACCAAAATGAGATGTGACCGCACAATCAGTAGTTTGATTAGGTTAGGGTTAGGGTTAGGTAGACAGTAATAAGTTTTTGCAAGAATGTGGAGAAACTGGGTCACTAAAACATTGATGGCGAGAACATAAAATGCTGCAACCACTTTGGAAAAGTTTGGCATTTCTTGAAAAAGTTAAACATACTTGCTCCCAAGAATTCTTCTCCTAGATATAATACCCAAGAGAACTGAAAACATACATCCACAGAAAAACTTGTACATGAATGCTCATGGTATGCTAACACACTGAAGAATGCTATTTCATAATACCCAAAGTGGATACAACTCAATTGTGCAACTGATGGACTAGATAAGCAAAATGTGGGCTATCTGAATAATGGAATATTATTTGACCACAAGAAGGAATGAGGTACTAGTACTTGCTACAACTTGGATGAATCTTGAGAACATGCTAAGTGAAAGAAACCAGACACAAAAGGCCACATAATCTGAGTAGAGCAGCACTCAGTGACAGCATGAGCACATGCGAGATACAGCCTCTAGCAGGCTTGGCGCCTAGGGAAGGGACCTGGAGACAGCCAACCTGGGATGTTCCCTACCCCTCAGGCCCCAGCCTGGGCCTGCTGGTCATGGACTGTGTGTTTTCTGAGCTTTCCATACCCGCTGACCACATCTTGCAGCTATGCATAGGGAAAATTCTTTTTGTTTTTTTGAGTTGGAGTCTCACTCTGTCGCCCAGACTGGAGTGCAACGGCCGCTCCCGGCCACCGCAGCCTCGACCTGCTGGCTCCGGTTATCCTTCTGCCTCAGCCTTCCGAGTAGCCGGAATTACAGGCACACGCTACCACACCCGGCTAATTTTTTTGATTTATTGTAGAGGTGAGGTCTTGCCTGCCCAGGCGGGTCTTGAACCCCTGGGCTCAGGCAATCCACTCACCTCAGCCTCCCAAAGGCGCAGGATTACAGGCTGAGCCACCGAGCCCGGCTGGGAAAATTCTTGCACACCCTTTCTTGAGGCAGTTAGTCCCTTGGACTGGTTCAGACCAGATCGGGCATGTCTGAATCGAGAGTCAAAACCTTTGGTCACCTTGAGGTTATTATACTAAAAATCCCATGCCTGAGAGAATTCATAGCCATTTTGTGTAAATGTGATGTGTGTTTAAGCACCTTTTCACACTACTCCTGTGCACTAGAAACCCTGCCGTTTTCGCTCTTAACCCTGCACTCTGCTCTGTGAAATGCTGCATAACCTGTGTGCCTTTTACAAGCGGGAGTTTTTCCCCCCATCCAGCTGGCTGTTGCTGGACCACCCTCCCTGGAAGTTCGTTCCTGAATAAAGCCCATGGCATGCCCATGGTCTCCAGGCCACTTCTTCAGCCTCTTGGACACAGCACCTTCCTTTTGGGTCTTTGGGGGTCTAGCACCGCATCAATTCATAGGAAATGTTCAGAATACGTAAACCCATTGAGACAGGGAATAGAGTGACTGCAAGGATCTGGGAGGAGGGAAGATTGAGCAGTGACTGCTAACGAGGATGGGATTTCTTTGGGGGGGGCGGTGACACAAGCGTTCTGGAACTAGTGGTGATGATGACATAGCCTTGTTACTATGCTGAAAGCCAGTGGATTGTATGCTTTAAAGTGGCAAATTTTATTGTACAAATATCTCAATTAGATAAAAAAGAATAGGGAAGTCTGTTTGTTCTTAGACAATATAATCTCAAAAAAAAAACCCAAAACAGGTGTAGAACAGTACACACGATGTTTTACCATATTCTTTATTTAAAAATGCACACACACACACACACACACACACACACACACACGCTTTGCAGGCATAAAATCTCAGAGAAGATATGTAAGAAACCAGTAACAGCCGGGCTCAGTGGCTCATCCTGTAATTCTGCGCTTTGGGAGGCTGAGGTCAGTGGATTGCCTGAGCCCGCGGGTTCGGAACCGCCTGGGCAACTTCTACAATAAATCAAAAATGAGCCGGGCGTGGTAGCGCACGCCTGTAGTTCCAGCTACTTGGAAGGATCGCCGGAGCCCAGCGGGTCGAGGCTGCGGTGGCCGGGAGTGGCCACTGCACTCTAGTCTGGGTGACAGAGTGAGACCCCAACTCAAAAAAAAAAAAAAGGAAACGAGTAACATTACTTCCTGAAGGGAGGGAACTTGGGGTGCATGGGAACAGTCTGGAGGGGAAATCTATCCTTTTAGCGTGCACTTTCATACCTTCTGAATTTTGTATAGAGTACAAGTATTACCACTTTTTTTATTTCTAGAAAAAAAAAGAATACTCTGATGCTTTATCTTTAGCCTTTAGATTTATTTTAAAAGATCATCTGCATTTTCTTCTGTAATAAACTGAAAAGATATTTGGTCAGATTTATTTCTTCTTTAGCAACTGAAAAATTAAACAGTTTTTTCTCCCAGTCCTTAATTAAATTCATTATATGTCACGTGTTTAGCTTTCTCATGGAGAAAAAGAAACCCAGGCATAAACCTTTACACTATCCACCTGCCAGGCCTGCAATACCATTTTAATAAAGTATTACTGATACTTGGACAATTTCTATGACATCAGCAGAGAGTGTCAATAACAGTGATTGTAAAGTGGCTAGTCTTATAAGTCAAGGGTTATGATCTTTGATCCACTGCTCAATCCATTTCAATATTTGATCTATGTTATTTTCTAGCTCTTCTGGTTTATTGCTGGGCAGCTGATGCACGATTTCTTCCTTGTAGGATTCTGTGGCTTCTTCATAAAGAACTTGAAAAATCTCACACTGAATATTGTCTGTTAGTTTCTTCTCACTATAACCCCTAGAAGGCAAAGAGAGGTTAAGCAAACAAGTCAACTGAATGGCATTAACTCGAGTTTTAGAAACATACCAGAAACTGGAAACTTACATTGTTGTTGGTTTTTTTGAGTCGAGGTCTCACTGTGTTACCTAGGCTGCAGTGCAGTGGCATGATCATGGCTCACCACAACCTCAAGCTCCTGGGCTCAGGCAATTCTTCTGCTTTAGCCACTGAGTATATGGGACTACAGGTATGTACCACCAAACCCAGCTAATTTTTTTATTTTTATTTTTGTGGACACAGAGTCTCACTATGTTGCTCAGGCTGGTCTCAAACTCCTGGGCTCAAGCAACCCTCC